GGGAGCCCGATGCGGGACTCGATCCCAGGACCCCGGGATCATGACCTGAGCCGAAGGCAGACGCTTAACCATCTGAGCCACCCAGGCGCCCGAGAGAACATACACTTCTAATGAATGTGACTTGCTGGGTAAAAAATCCAAGCCTCTCTGTGCCTGCCGTCTGGAGTTTCCCAACAGGGAGGATGTGGGGTAGAGAGCAGGAGCATGGCTCTAGGGCCAGACTGCCTGGGTCCTCATCCCAGCATTCCCAGGCACTCCCTGTGGTGCTCCCATGAGCCAACATTTCAGATGGATGCGGCTCCGTGTCACGTGTAAACTGGGGCTCGTGGCAGTGCTTTGTCAAAGGGCCACTGTGAGGAGTCCGTGCGGTGCGGGACGGCGCACCCTCTCACGGTTACCTGCTTCTCCCAGAAGGGCCTGTGCCGAGAGGCAGAGCTGAGCTGCTGCCAACCACATGGCGCCTACCTGGTTCAGGACCACCCAGTTGGGATCGATCTGGGCGTCCCCTTCAGGGTCCAGGACCACGGTCTGGTAGGCTCTGAAGTCGGTCAGGGTGACCTCTGCATTCTCCGGGCAAACGTCGATCCGATCGATGACCTGGTCCTGGTCGAAGTCTGTCTCGCAGATGTCTCCCACGCCGTCGCCTGAGTGGGGTGCGGGAGGACGAGAGGAGCTGGCTACTGCCCACATGCACCACGGCTTCCTGCCAGAGACAGGGCTGGGCAAGGAGCCGAAGGGAGCCCATGCTCCACCTCCAGGGCGACGGTTTGCAAGTCATGTGGGCAGAGGAGCCCAGAATTAGCCATGGCCGAGGTGGCCCCAGGCCCCACCCTTCAGTCAGTCTTCATGGTGAGTTGGTAAGCCCCACTGTATTTGACCAAAAGAATTTCCTGGGGACAGAGTGGAAGGCAGCTGTTCAAAACTGGCTCTTACAAGAAACGCTGCATGTTCTCTGAGGACACGGGGGTTCACCAACTGGTGGATCTTAAGGCTGCCCTTACATAAGCACATGTCTGTAGCACTTTCTGTAGAACGAATGAAAAACGGAAACTATTGTCGCTGGAGTGTCTCTAAGACCATAATTTCTGCTGATCCTGAGGCTGAATCTGGCTCGTGGTATGTTTTGTGCAGCTGACATGGTATTAACATACTTGAATTAAACACTGCAGAGCCGTGGATGGACATGCCTCACCAACGCGCCATGTCCTCACTACTCTGTCTCATTTCTGGCTTGGTGCATGCTTTTCCTTATCGGCCTGGCCCTCGCAGCCCTCCGAGTTTGTGAGCCCATCTAAGCCATTTGCTGCTGTGCCCTCCTCTCTGTCCTGCTCCTTTTCTGTGACTCCTGGTGGAAAGGAGCAAGCAAGATGGTGGAGCAGCTGCCCAAGCCCTTTGAGCAGGAGCATCCGGCTGCCTCCCTGTCCCATGTGACCTCATCCCAGAGCTCCTCAGAGGCTGCAAAGCAGCCCCTCTCTGAAGAGTTAGAGAACGGTGTCCACCGGCTGTCTACTGTCCACACAAGCCGTCACTGCTCAGAGAAGCCCTGGGAGAGATGTGCCGCTGTGTGCCCGGCCAAAGGGAGCCTGGGGGTCCCATGCAGCCCTGGGCTGAGCCCACTTACTGTTGCTATCCTCCTGGGCTGGGTTGGGGACCAGCCGACAGTTGTCCGGTCCAGGGGGCACCAGGTCCGGGATGCCATCATTGTCATCATCATCATCACACTCGTCACCAAGCCCATCCTTGTCAGTGTCCAGCTGGGCGCTGTTAATGACAGTGGGGCAGTTGTCGGTGCTGTCCTGGTGCCCGTCTCCATCACTGTGGTAGAAAGAAGAGGAGATGTGTGGCACTGGTGAGCAGAGAACAGGGATAAGAGACAGAGTGGGGGTTTGGGAGCTTGTCTTTTGTCAAGCCCCTTTGTCTTCAGACAAGGCTGCCCTCTGGGCCTCAGAGGCCATTCTCCTACTCCCTCATCTTGTTGAAACAAGCAGATCATATCCTACTGAAGAAGATGAAGGCTGATTTCTGATTTTGTGACCAGATGCTCCTATCAGTCCCTGGGGACTATGATCAGTCCCCCTCCCTGCCCAACCCAGAAAATGTACAAGGGGAACAAAGGTTGAAGGGCAGTGAGCCAGGCTGCTCAGTGTGAATCCTGGCTCAGCCGCTTACCAGCATGTGACCCCTCTTTGGCTCAGTGTCCTCATCTGTAAAATGGGCATAACAGAGCCTACCTTGTAGGGTTGTTACAAAGATTAAATGCTTACGTGATGAGAATTTTGCATATTACATTTGAATATATGATAAAGCATTTCTACGTGCTGGCTCCTGGGAAGCCCTACAATGTCTTCTATTCCTCCTCCCATTCCCTGGCCAGCAGACCCAAGAAGGATCAGATGTGAATGCCACAGGGAGAACGGCAGAGAGAAGAGGGCCGCCCCTCCCTGAGAGGGGAGCATGGAGTCTGGGCTCACTCCTGCTCTCAAGCACTTCTCAGAACCCTCATTCTCTCCCCACGTGACAATTCATTTTTTCCAGGCCTAATGGCCACCCGCGGATGAGATTGCCCTGTCCCCAGAGGTTCCCCTGAGTTGATGGAGGCCTCCCACGGCTGCTCTGAATCAGAACGGATACTCCTTTCACCTCACTCCTCCCATGGCCTGTCCCAGGCAAGGGTAGGACAGGGGAGGGAAGTTAGAGACCGGTCCATGCCCTTCCGACCAGATGGGTCCCAGAGAAAATGAGGCCCACCTGGACAAGCAGAAGTTGACATGGCTCAAAGAGTGGAATGCCTGTGCCTACAGCAGGGCTGTTTTCTAAATCATACAACTGAGCTATTTCCATTAGCAGCCATTCTATAGCCTTGAACATTTTTATGCAAAAACAAGCAGTTCCTGTCCTCCTCCCCAAGGTTCAAGCTTGTGGGAATTAAAATGGAGCAGAATGAGTCATTTATTTTAGGCAAATATCTAGAGGCTGACTGGGTAGGATATTTTAGAGATTCTTTGGATGGCAGTCTGTGCAAGAGGACCTGCAACAGGGAACATTCTTGATGTCCACCACTTAGGGGGGCTGCAGGGTACCAGTCCCACCTTGCACGCAGAAATGGTGACCCCCTATGGCAGACTCTGTTGCTGACTTGCCTCTCCTCACGTGTGGTAACAGTAACGCAGCCGTGGTTTGCTGCTGGTCACCCGAGGGCCGGCCTTGCGGTGGGAGCTTTACCTACTTTCTCATTCATTTTTACCCGAAGCTGCAAGGGACAATTCATTCTCTCTACTTTGCAGAGGAAGAAATTGAGAGCGCAACTGAAAAGTCCATTGAAGTTCACTTGGCTCACGTGGACTCGGCCTCAAGGACACTGAGCACAAGGACCGAAATGGGGCTTTCTAGGAGCTGTCCTTGCACAGGGCTTGGCTCAAGAACCACTGTCTGTAGGGCACCCTCGGAGAGGAGGTCGGGGAGGGAAGACCTGTTGCTTCCTCCTCTGCCTTCCCGAGTCCATTCCCTCTTGCAGCCCGTCCTGCCGCCTCTCTAAGCCTTCCCGCTGCAGATGAAAGGGGACAGAGCCTTGGACTGCAGGCGCCTCCAGGGCAGAGGTGCGCTTGTCTACGTTCTTGGTGACGTTCCAACAGCATCTGATCCAGCCCTGTATCTTAATATAGGACTACCTCCACGTGGGGCTGGGAGGGTTGACAGAACTCATTTGCCCAGAACACTACCACCAAGTAACGAACACGGAATGAACAAATTCTAAAGACAATGAAATCACAGTGACCCCTCAGCAAACTGACAGCTTTCTATCTTGGGATCGTGGTGAAGCTGTCCTGAGCCGAAAGAATATAATAGTAAGAGAGCTAAACCTATTGAATGCTTCTATGTAAGGGAAACCGTAACATGCACTCTTTGTCAATTAACTCAGTCTTCACAACAGACCTATGAGCTACATGCCACTGTCATCCCCATTTTTCCGGTGAGACTTCTGGGGCACAGAGACCAGTGACTTGCTTAAGGTTAGCTAGTTTGCAAGTGAAGGGGCTGGGATGTGTATCTAGCTGTGTCATCCAGACTCCAGCTCTGAGGCATGATGCTCTACTGCTTCTCCTGTCATTCAGTCTCACTTGATGGAGTGCCTCGTGGCCCCTCCTGACACTGTCACCCGGCTGCTGTCCCCCCAGTAGCTCAATCTCTCTCAATCTATTCAGAGACATCCCAAAGCAAGGTAGCAGCAGAAAGCTCTGAAGTCTAAAATTGTCTCCAAATTCTTCATCTGGCCCGAATGCAGCTGGGAAAATGTGCCCTACCTGTCCTGATTGGTGTCACAGGAGTCCCCAACCAGATCGTTATCCACATCAGACTGCAAAGAGAACAGAACATGGTATTATTTATCCCTGGGCCTTCATGCACAGAATGTTCTGGAGAAGGCAGACCTGGCCCATCATCACTGCATCTCAAGAATTATTTCTCTGGAATTGGGTTGGTGCAGAACTGCAAAAGGACAACACCATATTGGTGTAGGCACAATGCTGAATTGTCAAAAAAGCCTTCCAAAATATCAAGCCACATGGCTGGGCTGCCTACACACCAGATGAGCTGATTGGAGAGGGCGCCGGGGCAGGATGGTGGCAGGTGGAGACGTGGAACTCTGGCATGGGTCGGAGGGGAGCCAGCCACAGGCCTGGGGACAAGGCTAACTGATTTTGCTTTGCTTCTGCAAGTTGGAATTGAGCCAGAATGGGAGTGAGTCACGGAGGGCAACAATGACGCCCCTCTCGCAGGGCTTTAAAAATACATGACACATCCCATCCAATTATCCAGACAGGAAGGAGGAGTGCGAAGGGAAACAACATGTCGCTGACTGAACCGCATCTGAGGCGCCCCTACACAGGCTGTGTAGGGGTTCGGGGACTAAAAGGACACAAGGCTCCCAATGGTTAGCTGCCATGTTGCATGCTCCTCTCAGCAAAAACAACTGGTTTTGGGGGCGCCTGGGTGGCTCAGTCGTTAAGCGTCTGCCTTCGGCTCAGGTCATGATCCCGGGGCCCTGGGATCGAGCCCCTCATCGGGCTCCCTGCTCGGCGGGAAGCCTGCTTCTCCCTCTCCCACTCCCCCTGCTTGTGTTCCCTCTCTCGCTATGTATCTGTCAAATAAATAAATAAAATCTTTAAAACAACAACAACAAAAAAAAAACCCAAAAAAACCACAACTGGTTTTGGTCACTGAACTCCTGCTCCTCGCCTCACGGCAGTGTGCAGCCTGTGAGATCTGCCCAGAAGGCCTCAGCATCCCCATAGCAGTCTTCTAGAACCTCCAGGCCTGAAGAATGCAGTCCCACCACCTCTGCTCCAGTAGGCATATGGTAACAGCAAGGCGCTGAGCCGGTGTCTTTAAGCACTTGTCATAAAGACTTTTTGCACAGGGGAGCTCAGCCTAGAGTCTAAATACCCCGAATGCTACTCACCTGATTAGGGTTGCTGACATCAGGACAACTGTCACAGGCATCCCCCACACCATCCCCATCCCTGTCCTGTTGGTTACGATTGGGAACTTTTGGGCAGTTGTCCAGAATGTTCTTTACTCCTACAAGAAGGGAAAGCTTCCCTGAGTCAGGTGAACATCGCAGAGAGGTTTAGGACACAGACTTCTAGGTGCTAAGAGATCAAGCGTGTACCCAGGCACATGGGGAGTGACTTGTGCCTGGGCCATCGTCCCAGGGCCACAGTTATCTGCAAGTAACATCAAAGGATGGATTGATTCTGGGAGACTTAAAATGAATGGTCACCTGAGGCCTTTATCCATGGAGTTTTAAGTTGTCCAAGACGTCAAGGGCTATCACTGCAACCAGATGAGGAGGTCATGAGGGCGAGGTGGGCTGACCCGGGAGAGGGACCTTGTGGGGGTGTGAAAAAAGACTGGGACCTGAAGGCGGGGGCGGTGGCGTGCTGGAGCCAGGCCCACCGTGCCCTCTCTTCTCAGCTTTGTCTCATCATGTCCTCTTGCACCAGCAGCTGGTAATCAGTCATGGAGGGAGTGGTATTTCTGTCATGGAAACTGGCAAATGCTACAACTTGGGGCTTTTTTGTTTTGTTGAGCTAGTTTGCCAGCATACCCCTGGATCTGGCCGTCAGTCAGGCTTGCAGAAGATGAGGTCATGTTTTAGGGAGGTGTAGGTATTCTGGAGTGTGTGTGTGTGTGTGTGTGTGTGTGTGTGTGTGTGTGTGTTGGCTGGTTGGGTGGAGGGGAGGGGGTACCTTTCTGGAAAGATTTTCTTTCAAGGCCCTCATGATGTGAAATGTTTTTTAGAAACTACCAGATCCAGTCTATACTTTGATGATAGTCATCTATGTGTTATGGAAGCAATATAGAAACAAGTGTCCTTCGGGGCCCCCCGGGTGGCTCAGTCGGTAAAGCGGCTGACTCTTGATTTCGGCTCAGGTCATGATTTCAGGGTCTTGAGATCAAGCCCTGTGTGGAGCTCAGCAGGGAGTCTCCTTGAGATTCTCTCTCTCTCTCCCTCCCCATCCCCTGCATTCTCTCATTCTCTCAAATAAATAAATCTTAAAAAACAAAACAAACACCCAAACGTGTCCTTCACATCCCGAGAGGCTCCAACGCTCAAGCTGTGCTCCAGGGGGTGCCATTCCCACAGCCCACACTCGAAGGCCCCTTCTGTGGAGCCAGGAGCGGGGTAATGCAGCTTCCCTGCCTCCACCTTCTTCCCAGAATAGGCAGGACATGGACACGTCTCCCAGGAGATGCCCGATTGTCTGCAGGAGGAGCCAGACCCAGTTGTAGCCTGCGACCCTGCTTAAGGCCCCCTCATTCCACTCTCCACTTCGAGGACTCGCAGGCATGGAAAGGATGCTGGTGGGGGTGGTGGGGAAAGAGACACTTTCTTTGGGAAGACAGAGGCCCTACAAAGACACAGCCCTGACAAGACACTGCTTGAAGTAATTCCTACAAAATTTCTGGCCATGATGTAGAGTTCCAGAAACACCCAGGATTATTAAATAGGGGAGTGGGTTATGGATCTCCTTCCACAGAAACAGGGGGGCCAGGGGCCCCTGGGTGGCTCAGTGGGCTAAGTATCTGACATCCGGCTCTGTACTGGATGTGGAGCCTGCTTAAGATTCTCTCTCTCCCTCTGTCCTCACCTCTCCCTCTCTAAAAAAGAAGAAACAGGTGGGCCAGACACAGGCCTCGGGGAAACAGTCGGTGTGGGAGGCCTTCCGAGCCAACAATTCTATTTCTGCTCCTAATAGACAACAAGGGCAAAAGGACAAATGAGTCCCAAATAAAAGACAAAGCAAGACAAGCCCACCATCTCCATCCATGTCGTCATCACAGGCATCTCCTTTTCCATCCCTATCAGTGTCTTTCTGGTCATTATTCAGGACATTCCGGCAGTTATCACAGGCGTCCCCAAAGATATCTTTGTCACTGTTCCTTTGGTCCACGTTGTGAGTCAGGACACAGTTATCCTAAAGGATCGGAAGACCAAACATTTACTCAGACTGTCCTGAAGCCCTCCTAGGTCGCTGGTCCCGTGCTGGATGCCGGCCAGCCTCCGCCCCCATGGGCATGCGCAGTCAGCGCTCGGGGTAAAAAGTCGCAATGCCGCGGGATCACCGGCATGGAAATGAACACTTGGGATGACTCATATAAATAGGTGACTTCCCGGGCTTTCTTCCACTATCCCGGGCCCTCCTGATGGAGCAAGTACCTGCTCATTGAGGATCCCGTCTCCATCAGCATCCTCGTCACAAGCATCCCCAATGCCATCTCTGTCTGCATCTTCCTGGCCAGAGTTGGGCACATACTTGCAGTTATCCTGGGGAGAAGAAACAGGGCTCAGAGAAACATCTACATCTGACTCTTTTTCAACTTCATTGATGCATAATTGACAAAACTGTAACATATGTGAAGCATGCGGTGTGATTATTTAACATACATTTATATCGTCAGAGGATTCCCACTGTTAACACGTCCAGCTCCTCACATATCCACCTCCTCACATATCCACCTTTTCTTTTCTGAGAACATTTAAGTTCTGCCCTTTCAGTGAATTTCAGTTAGACAGTACTATCAACAAAAGTCACATGTTATACTTGAGATCCTCAGACCTTATTCATCTGATCCCTGAAAGTCTCTACCCTTTTATCAACTTCTCCCTATTTCCCCCACCCTCATCTACCTCAATCTTACGTCAGAAAGGATTTCCAACCTCAAGACTGACAGCAGCTGCCTGACTTCATTGTGGATGGCTGTTTTGCAAAGTGTGAGATGTAGCTACTTGAAAAATGCCATTTTCAATGGAACCCATAGAATCTCTCCTCCAGAGAAGACAGGGCTCCGGAAAGCCACAGTAGGTGTAGTTTTTCTCCCGTGTGCCCTCTTTACCTTCTTGCAGTTCCTGACGGAGCACGGCAGTTCTTCGTCAGGGTAACTGTCAATGTCCACGTCCTTCCCGCAGATGTAGCCATCACCAGCCCACCCGACGCTGCACTGTGAAGGCAAAGCCCAGCATAGGCTTGAGGAGCTGAGCCTGGGGGTGGGGGTGGGGGTGGGGGGGAGGGCTGACAGGGCCTCTGCTCTGAACCTGTAAATCCTTGCTCTCCTGTGCGCATCCCCAGAGGGAGGGCCCAGAGCAACACAGCGTTGTTGGGTAGGATTCTAAAACTATTATTTTTTTGAATAGTCTAATGAATCAAAAGGTACAAAGAGACATAGAGTGAAAACTCCTTCCCATTCCTGTTCCCTTAGCTCAGGCCATCCATTCTTCTGTATACTCTAAGAGATAACACTATGCACAGACAAGCAAATATACATTCTTTTTCTTCTTTTTTCTTTTGACACAACTGAGAGCACATATATCCACTGTTCTGCACTTTATTTAAAAAAATTAGTATCATACCTTGGAGCTCTTTCCATATCACTCCATGTAGATTCATGCCATTCCTTTTAATGGTCACAGATGCATCATACATAAAGTGGTATGCGTATGCCTCCATGAATTCAACCAGTCCCCTACTGGTGCGTGTCTGGTTTTTAAAACATTTTTTTCTATTGCAACAATGCTACAACAAGGAATTCTAGTACATTTGTCCTTCTGCTCCTGTACTGGTTTCTCAGTGTGGAATTCCTGGTTCAAAAGGTCTTTGTAATTTGGAGTTACTGTTGAAATGTTCTCCATGCGATCGTCTAATTTCCTCTCCCAGCAGAGACAAACGTGTGTGGCTTTTGCGGTACTTTCCTTATCATTCTTGAACTACAGTCCTAGCTCTGAATTTAACAGTCTTCTAGACCAGTTCCCACCAAAAAAAATAACCTTCCAAGGTGCTTTACCTCTATTCATGCTCTTTTAACAAAAAGATTCCCCCAGGTGCAGTGTTGGGTCCACATGTTCTCTTTGCCTCTGGAAAAGTCTGCCCAAGTATCCTGCCACCACCAGCCACTGACTTCACGGCAAGAATAATAGGCAGTAACAGTTAACCTATATCAGACTGTATAACCATTGTCTCCAATCCATCAATGATGCTGCAAGGTCACTATTATCCCACTGTACCAGAGACAACTAGGCTCTTGAGCAAGGATCACTGGCAAACCAGAGAGAAAAGAAATGATTCCCTACGTGGTGCCCTGGGCATGAGGTGGGACCTGGGAGCCCAGGACCAGGATAGGCACCTGCGGCAGGGGGTGGGGGGGGGTGTGCAGGCAGGACAGCAGGAACACAGAGGAAGAGGACTGGGAAAGAGGACGGAACCAGAAATGCAGGGAGGGGGCAGGGAGTCTGAGGAACAGAAGCAGGGCCAAGGGAAAAGAAACTTTCCATGAATAAACGTTAAATTTCCTGGCCTTGCTAATCAAAATAAGGTGATTGAAGACCAGTGACTTCCTAAGCAGCAGCCTGCCTGTTCTCAATCATCCAGGCTCTCCTTCTGCAACCAGAGATTTAGAAGGCAGGAGGCCAAAGACGCCCCTCCCGTAAGGGCCCCTATTTCCGCTGCATTGCTTTGGCGGGCCTTCAGAAGGCCTGGAAAGCTCAGCCGTGGGGTATGGTCCTTGACTCATTTTAATGAAGAAAAAATTTCCTCTAGGAACAAATACATTTTTAATGAGCCATTTTCTGGCAGATTATTTTAGTAGTCACACCAAGTATATTAATCCTTTCCCATCTGTCGTTATGCCTTATTACAAATTCAAAAACATATTAAGAGCCCCATCACCCACCATCCCAGGGAAGTCATTAATTTGTTCACAGCAAATTAGGATTTACACCATAGATTTGCCCTCGCCTCTCAATGGTAACAAACATGCCCAGGCAACAGGAATTAGGAAAGTTGTGGGGTTTTCCTGTCTGACCCAGCTTGCTCCTTCGTCAGGACCTTGTTATGGACTATGTGTGTTGCCAGAGAGAACGGATGCTATTATTACATTTCTTCCTTTCACTCCGTCCTAATTCATGTCGTTTTCCCTATTTGAAAAGCGAAATGCTCACTATATAAAGTTTTGCGAGCCTAACGTTGAAGAAGTCTAAGTTTGAGGTAGAAAGAAGGATCAAGTGATCACTGTGAACCTGCAAATCCCAGAATCGAAAGGGCCCCTGCCGAGGGCCTGGCTTAGTGGGAAGGAAGGAGAGGATGAGCAGCTGAGTGGCGGCTGCCTCAGCACCTAGAAGCCCTGAGGCCTCTGGAACCTGGGATTTGGGAGTGGATGGCAGGCCTGGGCCGCCTTCTTCACCTGCGGCCCACCACACCCCCGCCTGGCATGAGACCGGTGTCAGCCCAGGACCGTCCCGTTCTCTTGCCCCGCTGCCTCCTCCCCAGATCGGCTGCAGGGCTGGGAACTAGAGAGGAAGAAGAGTGCCCGTCCACTGAGCTGTTCCTGAATCCGGGTGTAGATGGACATGGAATAGTGCCGTGCGCCCCTTCCTGCTCACTGAGGGGAGACAGGGGCCCTCAGAGAGTGTCTGACAGCTTACCACTTCGCTGCCACCTGCTTCCTGCAGTATGAGGCCAGGTTCTGAGGACCGCTAGAAAGGACAGCGGCATGCTCCTAAGTTACACAAGCAAATAGGGGGGTAGACGGAGGGAGGGAAGGAGGCTCCTTCCCTTCTTGCTGTTTACTTCTTGGCCCTTTGCAGAGGGTGCCCAGGGGCGCGGGGCTCCACTGCTGACGTGCCCAAGGGTATGGTGTCGGACCCCCGGCAAGAGGAGAGAAAAGGCAGCTGATGTGAGATGGACTTGAGAGTGCTCTCCGGGAGCACAGCGAACCCTGTTATACTATTGCCTTCTGTTTATCTCCATGGGAATGTTTTCATTTTTCTTTTGCTTCACTACTGGGAAGTAGAACCCGAGGAGGGGAGGTATTTAAAACGGAAGAGAAAAACGTGGTAAAGCAGGTGACAAACAACTCACCACACATGTCACATCCCCCTGCCTCTCCTCGATGCACTGCGCGTTCACACTGCAGGGATTCAGCTCAGGATTTCTGCAGCTTCTTTCGGTTTTACATCCCCTTGTCTGATCACCCGTGTACCCGGGTTTGCAGGGCCCACAGCGGTAAGAGCCCTGCAGGGAGTAAAGATCAGCCGGTGAGCCGGGGGCTCCGAACTGGGAGCAAAGCTACCGCGATCGTGTTTATTTTCACATGTACTCGATGATGCTGAGAGGACGTGACACTCGGGGCTGCCTCTCCGAGTACGTGTCCATCTTATAAGACTGTGGAGTACGGAGGAAGACACCACCAGCCTGGAGGCTGCCGCAAGCCATGAAGACATGAGGGAAGAAGGCTGGAACGAACCCCTGACACTGGCCTGTAGCTCCAGTGTGAGGACATGAGGGGAAAGGGCCGATGGTGCCAGTGAAGCCCTGGGAGGCAGAGTGAGAATTTATTCTGGGGACAAGGGAGGGGGTTTGAGTGAAAAGCTGGTAAGGGGAAGAAAAAGGTTTTTTGTTTTTTTTTTTAAAGATTTTATTCATTTATTTGACAGAGAGACACAGCGAGAGAGGGAACACAAGCAGGGGGAGTGGAGGAGGGAGAAGCAGGCTTCCCGCTGAGCAGGGAGCCCGATGCGGGGCT